TAGCAATGTTTTTATGTAGTCAATATAGATGGAAAAAAAGTGTTCGGTAATAATTAGATGGAACTTTACAAAACACAGCACGTTAGTGCCTGGTGCAGGAAGCATAGCACTTGCAGGTAGGAGATGCCCATCTCAGGTCATCGGAAGAATGGCATTTTCAAGGGAAAGGGAAGGCTGTGTGAGCCAAACCATAGATTTCCTTGCATGACACACTCAAGAGATTGTTAGGAGATATTTCAAAATGAAGTGTGAGAATTCTGTGTTTTCATATTTTCAAAGGAACTGAAATAGTTACCATGATAAATTATGTACAAACTTTCAATTTCAAGCCTGATTTTCAGAATCTCAAGGGGTTCTAATGATTTGACATCTCATTCTCTAAATTAGGTCTGAATTATAATTTTCTCTAAATAAAATTTTTGTTCATTATCTTTTTTATTAGAATTTTTGCTGACTTCAAGAATAAAATTATTTGATAATGCTGTAATTAAATTTTATGCCAATGTGTGTGTATAATAACATACACACTTGTATGTTAGTTCTTTAGTTATGTATAGCACCCGTGGAGGCCAGAAATGGATGTGAATCAGCATAAATTGGAGTTATAAATGGTTGTGAGCTGCCTTGTGGGTCTTGCAAGAGCAGCAAGTGCCCTCAACCTCTGAGACATTTCTCTAGCACTGTTTCTTTAAAAATAAATCATTTAATATTGTTTTTGCAACAGCATGTTATTCTGAAGTACTTACAGATTCTTGCATTGGCACCATCTATCAAAACAGCAAACATTTTTGTGATTAAACTGGTTAAACATTTAGAAGTTTTTATGAAGTTATATAGGGTGTTTGCTGTTGATGATTTCCAGAAGTTTCACCTAATCCACTCAGCTTTTCCTCTCTACAGCCGAGGCAATCAGCAGCTAGCATATGGTACATAAGACACAAAACGGAAGAGAGCTCAACTTCACAGGCAAGGCAGCTGGTAGACATGACAGTCTTTCCAAATTACTCATCGTGTTTTGAATTACTGCAAGGAAAAAAAAATGTGTTGCCCATCTCCAAAATAGATGTTCATTTTTATTTTTATGCTGCAGAAAAGGCTTTCAATAGGAAAATAAACCAGATGGTTATAGGAAAAGAGGTAGGTTCCCTACTGAGACCATTTTCTTATTGTCAGGTCTCCTGTCAGAAGACATTTCCAAGTAAACAAATTCATACTTCACTAGCCATAGCTAGATTTGCCCTCAGATGAATTTTTGCTTTGTCTTATGAGTGATGCCTTTGGAACAGTGTCAACAGGAAAACACAGTGAATTCATTATCAAAGTAGCATTGATCTAGATTTACTGCTATCCCAAAATCTAACAGATAAGCAGGCTCTGTCTGAGACATTGGTGACGTTAAAAATGAGTGACTGCAGTACAGAGAATACTTTCCTAAAATCATTATCAACTGATGGTTTTCAAAAATACGTTCTACAGCAGAAACTTAATCAACTTTATATAGAATCTGAAAATTCAGTTAATTGTGTGTGTAATTTCAACTGTGGTCTGAGTGGTATAGTAAACTTGTATCTTTCAAATGCAATTGAATCTTCTATGTTATTGTTTGGACAAATTTTCACTATGAAGTTTTCGATAGTTTTCAAATGTGGCTTTCCACATCTGTGTAGAAAGAAGTTTCATCTCTGTTTTCTGAATTCTTCAGTGCTCAGGAATCTCAATTTGATTTACACTATTCTTTTAAAATCCTTTCATACGAGGGAATCCAGAAACATCTTTCTAGAGTACTTGCGTGTTTGAAAATGTATTTCACTAATTACATTAGAATTATGAAGTAATTTTCTCACTTCTTTATGATTTGCTTTTAGAATATTCTTTAGGGTATTTATAAGATCTTCCAAGTTGAAAAATTCTTGTGTTTGACTCCACTAACAATTGAATAAAATGAGTTTTTATAATGTGTTTAATTCATTATTTCAATGGGTGTGTTCCTTTCTGACTTATTACAAAAGTTTCAATATCTACATTTAATGTACTGAAAGTCAGTTGGGAGCTATTGCACAGCAGTCTACTCTCTTCGTTGTCAGTTTTTTTCTTTATTAATCCAATGGAAACGCATCTAACTTTCAGTTTCCCAAGTTCACAGCAGTTGTCACGTTTGAAATATAGTTCTTCATACTTCTCAGCACTGTCATAAGTCACTCAAGACAGATTTATGAAATGACAGACTTTCTAAGATAAAATATAATGTGTCAAAAAGCTTTTCTTTATTCCAGCCCAATGGGAATTTAAGAAAATGTTTCAAACAAGAGCAAATTTGGAAGTAACTTTTGAAACTCACTGTAAGTGACAGCTACATCTCAGAGCACAGAACACACCATGTTGCTTTAACCATTACTCTAATACATTTTGCAAACATATTAGACATTATTAACATTGTCATTTAATCTAAGAACTTATGAAATGAGTTAAAAGGGCATGGTGTATGAGCATATTATTTCTAGCTGCCAAAATCTGTAAGTTGAATCTGTTTATTTTCTGTTCACTTGAAAAGCACTTGCTATAATCACAAAATCTGAAGAGTTCTTTCTGCAATTTTTTCCTTGACATGTGCTCTCATCTGATCATATATTTTAACAATGACAAAGAAAATCATAAGTTGACTCTCTTAAAATAAATTAAAATTTCTAAATTTTGGAGGTTCTTGTTGTCCAATCATTAGGACTTCCATATAGGTTAGAATTTCATTTTTCCAATTACTATGCCTTAGCATTTATAACATTTAATTTGGTTATATATGTTTTATGTATACATATATATAATCTTTCTTAATACATTTTATTATATGATAAGTTTCAAAAATGAATTTATATTTTGATAGGTAAATAGGTCTCTCTACCCAGTTCAGCAGTGGTAAGAGAGGAAAGCTAACGAAATGGTCACCTACCAGATGCTGTGGGCATGTATCTTTTTGTACACGGTGAATATTCATTGTTCTCATTGGTTTAATAAAGGATTAACTGGCAAATAGCTAGACAGGTAGAGTTTAGGCATGATTTGTGGACAAGAAGAGAGTGTGGGAAAGAAAAGGAGGAGTCACTGGGAGCTTTGGAGAGAAACAATTTGAACATGCCGTGCTGAAAAATGGTACTGGCACATGGTAAAGCATAGATAAAATAATATAGGTTAACTTAAGTTGTAAAAGCTAGTTTGTAATAAGCCTAAGCTATCTGAGAAGCATTTATAATTAATATTAAGTCTCTATATGTTTGTTTATTTTGGAAGCTTGTGGAAAAGAGTTGATGTGATCTAAAGTGGTCAGGTAATGGACTATCAGCTCTGGAATAGTGTTAGAACACTGTGATCTAGAGTGATCAGGTAACAGACTATCAGCTGTGGAATGGTGTTAGAGCAGAACATTGGTTCTAAAATAACCATGTAAAATAGTACCAGCTGGAGAACGGTGGGCTATATTGGAGAAAAGTAGCTCTCATTTTTTAGTCTATGCCATTTTATTCTTTCTCATTCTCTTCTTATTTTTAAATAGCCCTTAATTGTTATATCATCATTATTAACATGAACTATTGTAAATTCAAGTAATGCACATTAAAATTATAGTACTATTGTCCTGAATTTTCAAGCATCATTTCTGAAAAGTATGTTTTGTTAAATTATTATGCCTTAAGAAAAAAATGCAAGTTATATTTAAATTAAGTCTTAAGTATATTTAAAAAGGTTGCTATGCTAAGCAATGGGTGTATCAGAAACTAGGCCTAGAAGTACGACAATAGAGGTTTATAGAAATGTTGTATGTATGGCCCAATGATCCATTTAAGCTCAGGTCATTCACACAGATGTTCTGCACTTATCTGACATAAGGAATAAGAATATTAAGACATGAATGAAAAAGAGTCCTAGTAAAATAAATATGAGAACTTCTAATTTAGAAAACAAAGTTTTTTTTTTATTTTTGAGACAGGTATTTGATGACTATAATTGCTATTGACATAAGACCAAACTGTATGATAAGAGTCTGTGTGTGCTCCATCCAATGAGGGAAAAATATTATAAGCTTGGATCAATTTACATCAAATGGCAACAACATCAGGTGAGCATATTATGAAGGGTTTTTAAGCTAGATGGACAATTCATGAAACATAAATAAGTTATTAAAATACTTTAGGGGTATTTTTTTTTAAAAATTGTGCTGGAACCATTCATTTATTCAGGCCTTTATGCATTCATATATTCATCTCACAAATTTTCTTCTATCTAAACATACTCGTGGATAAGTTATTCTGAGCTTGAGGTTACTAATTTAATGAATTTATAAATATTTCATCATGAAAACAGTCACAAATAAGTAGCACTTAAATTTCTACAAGCGCATGCTATTCACTATTGCAAAGCCAAAGCAATGATGAGCTATTTAGCCACAAACACTGTTTTCATGCCAAAGAACACATATCGCCCAACTCCCCCACACTAAGGTTAAGAATCCACTTAAACAAACATATAGCTGATTTCTATTAAATTTCGCCTATGTAAAAATGCAGATGAGCAGGCACAGAGAGAAATAACCCTTAAAAAAGAGGAGTCTGACTGGCTTAAAATGAAGCAGATGAATAAGAAATAAATATCTCAATTTAATGCATAGACTTCTCTCTTGAGTAATATCAAACATAGCCTATTATATTGTACAAACAATGAAAAATGAAGTATTATATCATCCTCCTTAGGAAAAGTTAGGGGTTTACATCATTAACAATATGTTATTTTATCTGAAAACTGACACCCACTCCTTGCTGTGTCGAGAAAGTAATTACTAAAATGGTTTACCAAAGCAATTGAAAAGCCATGAGCAACTGTTATAGCAGAGAGTCCCCCGAGAAACATTTTAACATGGGTGAATAAATATATTTAATTCTGTCAAATGCTACTATGCATGAATTATGAAGCACTGTGCAAAGCCATGCCAAATGGATAGAAGGATGGCTACTTACCAACAGGGCGAACTGTAGACATTACAATGGTGTGGTGAGAACATAAAAAAGAAATTAAAAAAAAAAGAAAGAAAAGAAAATTATCAGAATGCATGATGTGTAATGTTACATTTAAGTATGGACAATAGAGTGATTTCCATTCTCATAATTCAATTATGAACAGAGTGCCTAAGTCTTATACAACTGAAAGATATAAACATAATCCTATGGTAAAAGTTATTTTTAGCCTTAGGACTAAAGCTGAAACTTGAAGGAATAGTTTAGGTTTAGTCTTATCGTCAGCACTTACTTCAGTTCTTATTTCAAAGATATCAAGTTAAAGAGCCTTATGCTACCTCAAAGTTAAGAACAGACTGATAAACTATTCAAGCCAATAGGAAGCAATCATCATGTCTGAGAAATAAGGCCTCACTAACTGAACTAAACAGCAACTGGATCTTAAGCATGTCTTGTCAGAACTATTTCAAGGAATATAGACAAGCTTCTGATACAACTTTTCAGTAGGCAATAATTTACGTTCACTGTGCTTTCTGTGTATGGAAATCTTCCATTTGTTACATGCACCAAATAGGTTGAGACATGCCCGCAGATCTCAACTTGACCACTCCCTAACCACCACTGAACTTATCCCTTTTTCCGGCATAGATTATGAAGCTGTGACTGACATGTTGGTTCTTTCTCTCAATGAGCATAGCTTCAAACCGATGCTTCAGCAAATATATCTTTTTTTATGATATTATACTTTCAGTTCCTAAAATGTATAAGCAATAGGTGGACATTCTCTTAATGACTGAAATTTTAAGACACATACATATGTTTAATATTTTCTTTATAAATAATTTCAAATCAGCATGGATGAACAACCATATAAAAGCAACAATTAAGTATTAGAAAATATGGATTTTTCTTTATCCAAAAGAAAAAAAATCTATTCATAAGAACTAACTATATACAACTGCAAAATTAGAATATATATTTTTCCTTCCAATATGTCATTCAACCATACCGCAGCATATATAACCCTAGTGAATAATAATAAGTTTGTAGAAGAAGGTATGAATAGATCTTGCTGATGTTGATTCTTTGGACTTGATAAGGTAAATCATTTCAGATCATGCTTTATACATTGCATTTAATCAACCTGTTCATCATAATTCTGGATTTTTGTCTAAGATTTAAAAATAATAGTATAGTTAGATATATCTGAAAGATATCTGTCTTTTATAATGGTAGTATTTATAATTAGGATAATAAAACTATAGTAACAGTAAAAAAAAATTCCTGTGTCACTGGCATAAATATTTTTACTGTATGTTTATTATAAAAAGGGGGACATTGGGAAGTTGCTGGACAACCCATTTTATCCTTAAGTAAAGGGATTGGTAGAAAGGTCCAAGACGAATAATCAAATAAAGACATAAGATTGACATTATAAATTTTTCCTTACTCTCACTAACAATTTCCCTTGGTTGTGTGAGTTTCAAATAGGAAAAAGAAATCAATTTTGAAATTTGTGCTAATTTAGCTACAATATAAGATTGTTTTTCAAATATACTTCCCTAAGAAATATTATGTCTTCTAAGGCTGTGACATGAAAAAGAAGAAAGTATAGTGAGGGTTCATGTTAAAATAAATAATATACTCTGTGTTCACTTTATAATAATTTCAAAAACATTATACTTTACTGCACTGGAAGACAGTAAGTTCATTGAGATCCTTTTACACCAAGTGAATGAAGAAACTGGGAAATGAGGGAAGCTGTTTGCATAAATGTAACTGCTGTTTTTATTTCTCTTTCAAGAACATTTTTCAAATTACTTAATATTTTTTTTGATTTGATTATTATGGATGCAAGTTCTTTTACTAATTATTTTCTTTTTCATTTTGTTTGTCAAGGAAGATAATGAATCTATACTTGATGGCAAGCTTCCTTTGATCACCTTTTTGTTACCATGTTTTTGAAATTAAAAAGCAAACACAATAAGAGACTGAAGAGTCTTTGGTTTGAAGTATTGATTATAAAACACTTTAAAGTATCCCCAATGCACTAACATTTATGTAATGATACAATTTCTATATAAATATCACAGTAAAACTGCATATTTTCCATAGCAACATTCCATCATGAAAATCAGCAGGTGGATGTCTTCAAAATCAGCAAATTAAACTCAAATGTGTTCCAGAATTAAATGGATTAAAATGGACATGGCCTCTTGGGTCAGTTGACCTCATTGTAATAAAACAACCAAGAGAAAGGCTGAACGTATCATTTATGTGCATAATGAAATAGACACAGAAAATAAAAGTCATAATTTTACCTCCATTAACCTTGCAGTGTGAGCTATTCCAACAGCATGTCTTAATGGTAAAACATGTTTTTCAATAATAATTTACTGCATGTTACATTGTTCTTCAAAGATTTATTAATATTATTTAACCCTTATTTTGAAGTTGCTGCCTTAGATGAATGACAAATTCATACCATGGGGACACAAACACTCAAATTCATCTACAAGCTACAAATCATAGAAGAAACCACTTAAAGGCTTGCTGGTCTTTTAAAACTACATAAATCATATTTTAAAAGACAATGCTTTGTACCAGTTTTGTACATTTGCTTCCAATAAAATGCTAAACCTGAAACTTTGAACAAATTATGAAAACAATTAGCTGAGAAATATCTCAAAGCCAATAGAACACCCCGAGTCTCCTTGTTTGGAGTACGCATGTGTAAAAATCTGTGTCATCCACAAACTGACATATTTTCTCATTCTCTCGGCTTTTGTTTAGTCAGCAAATAGGCTGTGAATGGAATATTTTGGGGGTTGGTCATATATTTTTGCCTCATTCATTTCAATCCCCCAGCATGCTTTAAAGATGAGTTGATTTAACCGAATTATTTTCACAGCAGTTTACCCTTAAGAATAATTCCTATGCATATATGCTACATTGTTGGCTTGGTGTTTTGGATGGATTCTGACAGTGGAAGTGGGGGTGACTCTGACTCCTTTACTTGCTCATAAGAGTCTTTTCCTCCTACTGCATTGCCTCGACCAGTCTTATGTAAGGGTCTGTGCCTGGTCTTAATGTATCTTGCTGTGCCTTGTTTGGTTGATAACCCTAGGAAGCCTGCTCTTTTCTAGGAGATGGGGAGGGAGTGAATCTGGGAGAGAGGGAAAGTGTTTGAGAGGTGGAACTGGATGGAGCAAAAGAATAAATGTATTTAAAATTATCCCTGGAGTATGTAGTTTTGTTTCCATGAGTTGCTATATTTTTATCATATACAATCAATAATTATATTTGGTTCATAAATAATAAGCTACCTGTGACTTAATAAATAAATAGTGACAATGCTGATAAGCAAGGGCTACCAACTTTGTCTAAAATGTTTGGATCTATGTTTCCACTAAAAAAAATGGGGGGGGGGCTGGGAGAATAAGAACAGGGCCATTGGAAAGAAGAGAAAATATGGGATAGAACAAATGCTTGCTTCCTGCTTGTTACCTGGAGACAAATGACTGTGGTGGCATAATTTCTCTTTTACCAGATGAAAGATTCAACTGTTTCCCTGACTGAATTCCTTGAACTTTAAACTCCCTAAACCTGTTTTCTAATTTACACAAACTCGTGGAAGCAAAGCTGAGCAAGGGTAAAAGTTGAGATACAGCTGAGCTGCTGCCAACATCCTTCTATAGAGAAATGAGACAAAGCCTCTCGTCTCATGGGTGGTGGGCAGGAGGCTAAAAACTGGTTAGTTTCAACAGTGCCGTAGCAATGTCTATGCAGGAAGCAAAAGTGTCCTCTGTCTTGGGACAGTATTCCATACCTGGCAACACATAACTTAAGCTATTGTGATAGCCGTATTCCTCCAGGAACGCAGATAGTTCACTGTAGAGAAACGTAGACTTAGTAGTGCTTTCTGTTACTATAAACAATTCTATTGTGTCGAGAAATGAACATGATTCTTTAACTGGGAGAGTTCATAACACTCAGAGAGCCCATGTTATAGACGTGTCCCTGACTACCTCCTTTAGTTAAGGTCAGTGAACTTCACAAATTGCTCTCTAAATCAGTTTGTCTGGATGCCGGAGTTTTGTTACCACCTTTGAAACACAGCTAGTCATTTGCTTCCCTTAAATTGGCGTGCTGAATGCTGAGACAAACAAACGAAATTCCATCATTTTAAACAGTTCTAGCGGTATAAAGGGGTCACCTAGCAGAAAGCAAACAGTTCAAAACCGACAGCATTTAAGAGCAGTAAGTCATTGCAAGAGACAGAAACAAAAAGACTGGATATATCTTCCTAACTTTTAGGATGCACTTTTCAGCTATATCAACTATTAGTCGATGTGTTACTGTTAATTATATAAGTAAATTGGACTGGAGAGATGTCTCTAGAGGTCCTGAGTTCAATTGCCAACAATCTCATGGTGGCTCACAACTATCAATAATGGGATCTGATCAATTCAAGTGTGTATAGATGAGCATGCAAACAGAGAACTCATATTTATGTAGCAATAAAAATATGTATAAACAATGCTACCATATTTTACAATCTTCATCCACTTTTTGTTTACCACTTGTAATTATTATATATTAGAATCACTGATAGTATAAAACAGCAATGCTTGTCTGCTTTTTTGATTGGGTTTTACTTGTTTTAAAACAGAGTTAAAAACAGTCTCACTGTGTAGCCCATATTTCTTGAGACTCACTGTGTAGCTCAGACTGGCCTCCAATTCATTACAGTTCCCCTGCCTCAGTGTCTCTTTAGGCATGGATCTCTAGCCCCCTCTTTGTATAATATTAATGAAATTAAAAATATACAAACAACAATTTAAACCCCTATTTTATGCTGTTCAACTTTCCATTGTGCCATAATAACTCTCAAAATTTTTATGAACTAGAAGCTATTATTAGCCTGATATATCTTAAATATATATTGAAAGGACAGCATAGAATATATTAGAATTTGAAAGCTTCCAGAAATCATGTATATACTAAATTATTTCAACAATATGTTTTGACTAGATGTGTCACTTCAAGTCATATTACAGAAGGTTTGAGAGAAGGTATGATAAAGATTTGCTAGGTATCAAAGACTCTCATCAGTAAAGATCTTTAGCGTATTGTGGTTTTGTTTGTCAGTGTATGTACTAACTACAAAAAGGAGATTCAGAGTGAGGCATCCCATAAACAGTTAAACCAGCCCCACTGCTTCGTGCTAGCCCAACCCTAACACTGTTTTTACAGGGATTGCCTGGCTATAAAGAAGGACAAATATCAGACACACTCAGAGTACTACTAGAAAGGAGTTGGGACTGGGAAGAATCCTGGAAACTGGACTGTACCAGCTAAAGCCTCTCCAGTTTGGGCTCATCCATCATTATCCCAGATAGCACGTAATACCGCAAAGTAATTTTACCTATGTGAAAAGGCCAGAGCATTGTCTCATGATGGGAGAAAGTGAGCACTTGCTCTGACTTCTCCACAAATCACTAGTATGAACCGAGACAGCTCCCTTCATCTTGTTTAGCTTGTTTTGTTTGTTAAATGAGAAGGCAACACCAGGGAAATGCTTAAGCGCTGCCAGTTAGTGGATCTTCACAACACAGACCTAGAGACAATTGTAATATCTTAATATCTTCTGTTGTATAAAATTCAGAGATCATATATTGGAGATCTTGAGGATTTAAAACCAAATGGGAATCTTGAAAAGAGTCTACTCTCATGTTCAAAGGTACAGGACTCATTAATCCTGCTATGTAGGGGGATGAGGCTCATATAGTCTCCCATGGAGCCATTGGTGCCAATAGCTTCCTGCAGTTGAGTAAATATAGTAGCATCAAACTGAGCCATAATTGCCTAAAACTTCTCCAGCAACCATAATTCTGAAGAGAAGAGAACTTGAGAAGCTTGAGCTAGAATATAGGCGTATGCAAATGTTATTTGTGGTCATAGAATGGATCCTTTGTGTTCTTCAGTTCAAGCTGGCATGTCAAGAGAAATGTAAGTCAGTCTCTCAACAGCAATTTTGGGAGCCATCCCCAAGCAAGAAAAGAGAATCAATGCAGTCCCAGTTCTGAGGCAATTGTTAGTATTTCTGTTTGGATGTGAGCAAGGTTACACATGTCCACCACCAGATGTAGTGGACCATTTAGCAGACAGAACTGACTATTGTCTGAATTAGTTTATTATTATACTGAGATTAAACTAAACACTAGTTCAGAGCTGGTCATTGTATTTGGAAGTAAACTTCTTTTGTGGATTCAAGAAAGAAAGGAAGGAAGAAAAGAAGGAAAGAAGGGAGGGAGGGAAGGAAGGAGGGAGAGAGGGAAAGATGAAGGAAGGAAGGAAGGAAGGAAGGAAGGAAGGAAGGAAGGAAGGAAGGAAGGAAGGAAGGAAGGAAAAAGGAATGATCCATTTAATCAATCATTTCATTTCAATTAATAGTTTAGAATGCAAAAACACCTGAGTATTTTTTATAATACTAAGTATAATATATTCCTTTTCTCTGAAACACTCTCGCTATGTAGACCCCAAGGCATACTTTGCATTTGTTATCCCTCTGTGGTTACTTCTTGTGTGTTAAGGTAACAGGTGTGGGCTGCCATGCCAAACAGCCCCTACTATTTTGAGCAGGCACGAACTTACCAATTGGACAAAATATTAGGCTCCTGGTTCAATTTTCTTTGACACTTTAAGTCTCTTACCTCGGACAGTGAGGGTAGCAGAGGCTTCCACTTTTCCCACCCGATTCTCAGCGATACACATATAGGTACCTTCATCTGTACTCATGGCCTTCTTAATTCTCAGGGTATAGTCATCTTTGATATCGTACCTGTGGAGAACAGGAAACATTATCATTAAATAGCATCAGTCATAGAGATAATAGCATGCAGGCAGTAATCTTCATTTATCTCCTTTTATGCTGCAATTTACACCTAGCCACAAAATTAAGCTCATTTACACTAAATTTCCTAAAACTAAGATCATTCATTTTATAACCGACCACTAGTTACTTGTCAGTTACCCATTCATTTTACATATATACAGCATTTTATACTTTGAAGCTATCAAAGACAGGCTTTCCAATTTGTCCTGTCCTTCATAACTCTCCACTAGAAATGAAAATACTACATATTTTTTGCTGTGGGTCACTTATGATTTATTATTTTGAAAGTTAGTCACTCTATAATATTTAGACAATATGAATACATGAAACTTAAACTATATTAAAATTCCTTTGGTTTCTGTTTGTTTGTTTGTTTCTATGATTAATTTTTTTTTGGGGGGGCAGGCTCTCATGTAGCCCAGACTCTCAAACTTACTCAGTTGGTACCTGGAATCCCAATCATTCTACTTGAGCTTTTTAAGTGTTAAATGATCTTTAGACCTTTTTCAACTGGTTTCAAACAGTATTTTGGGACAATGATCTTGTAACCTGTAAAGATTTGCCACTTGTACTGGTTTAATAAAATGATGGTTGGCCAGTAGTCAGGCAGGTAGTTTAGGGAGGGTAATCAGAACAGGAAAATTCTGAGAAGAGAAAAGGCTCAGTCTGCAGTCATCACCCAGAGGCATAAGAAAAATGAGAATGCCTAAATATATATATATAAAAAAAACAAGCCACATGGTACAGAATTCTGGGTTAATGTAAGATGTAAGAGTTGTTAATAAGAAAGACCAAGCTAATAGGCCAACCAGTTTACAATTAAATGTAAATCTCTGTGATTTTTTTTTTTTTTTTTTGGAGAGAGCCTACCTTTCTGTTTGATATGTTTGCTGCTTCTTACACTTGAATATCAGGTAACGTATTGTGTTGATTATTCATCCAGGGTTTCCTCAAAACTAACAGTACCCATACTTTTTAATAAGCATAACTATAGGAACTTTATGATTATATATTAATCTACACATAAGTTGTTACATTTCTTTTCTTAGTCAGAGATACTTCAATTTGTTTTTAGCTGCCTTTACGTAGTCGAGGATACACTTTAAATGAGTTGAGCTTGCTTTGATGTAAAACCACTTATCAGCGCAGTGAAATTTTACATATGCCTGGCATATAGTAGTAGCACTGATTGTCATAATTAAATAGAGAAGATGAAACAGATGAAGGATATTTCTGACGAGGCAGTTTTATTAGGAATGAGATGATTTTCCTTGTGAAATCCGCTTGACTTGGATGTATGCGAAGGATGCCATTGTTGCCAGGCTTGATTAATGACAGTTGTGTTATCCTAGGCTGTCAGTTGCTACCATAGATGGACCTTATTTCTTTTGATATGAACCACTGTTGAAAAATACAGCCCAATCAGATCTGGCCGCTGGTCAACATGTGCTAGCATCGCTGTACCGTGAATCCAGATTGATTGGTGACCAGCTGTGACAATGTAGGCACAGAAGCTCTGTGTTACTGCATTATTTTTAACCCCACGAGGGCGGGGGGGGGGATAAAAAAAAGAAAAAGGGAATTTAATTGTATCAAAACCATTACCATCTGTTCAGTTAAACAATAAACAAAACAAAGTGGATTCACTTTAAAATTTAAAACAGTTTTATAGAAGGTACTGTCCATGTGTTTTGATATTTATGGCTAATTCTAAAAATGTCTCAAAAGACAAATATTATTACTACTGATTATTTTAGGAAACAAAATGCTACATTCTAAAAATAATTTCCCACTTTGCATAAGTGAATTTATTATATTCATTTATGTAGCCCTGCCATAATATATAGCAAATCTGTGATCCTACATAGTAGGAAAAAAATTCTATGAATCAAAATTAAATTAAAATATCAGGCAGTACTTGAGAATTTTGTAGTATTAACAAATTTTCTCAATTATTTTTGTGCAGTTTTCAGTTCACATTGGATTGGTGTGATGAAAAGTTATCCCAGTTTTCCAACTCTTTTGTGTGTATTAGAAGAGGGAGACCATGCCTTCAATGGTGACTATAGAATTGGAGAGAACCATCAAAAGGAAAATAAATGAAAATTTTCAGATAATCTGGGATTTCCCCGTGTTGAAAGCATGTGTCTCTCCTCATCTTGTTTGGATTATGTAAGGATTCCATAAAACGTCCTAAATAATTCTCATGTCAAAATCATCTGTATTCATGGAAGCAAACAGATTTCTTCAGCTTCTTTTACTTCTTCAAAAATCATTTACAACTTAATCTAAGATTTCTGGTTAAACTTCCGGAGCAAGTATACTATATTAACACTGAAAATGTTAGTATACATCTACTTTTCTAAAAGTTAAGATAGCCAGTCATGAAGCTATGCATTATTTGAACTATTCATTACTATAAACTATGAATTATTAAAAACTAGATATTATTCAATGTATATAAAAGTAAATATCCTTATTATTTTAATGTCTGTTTATTTTCCATTATGTGTAAGATTCTGTGTCTACAAGTGGGTATGTATATGTGAGTTATTGTGTTCAAGGAGACCAGAGGCATCTGGTTTTCATAGAACTGGAGGTATAGGCTGTTGTAAGCAACAAAAGTAGATGTTGGGAACCAAACTTTGGTTTGTTGCAAGACTATTATGTGCCTCTCTCCAGGCCTTGTATTTTTCTTTCTTTTAAAAATTAATAAAATTTTAAAGATATTTTTCAAGTTATATTTCCATGAATCCAAAGAGCTAAAAATAGCCTTATGTATTTTAGAGCTCTTTAAAAAAGAAAAGTCTATGATAATAACTCTTTCCCTTTCAATGAAATCTCATTATGGACCTTTATTATTAATAGCTATCCAATGGCTTAATGGTCTATTGCCTTGTTTTCAACACAGGTATATTTTTATTATACAAACCTCTTATTAGTCTTTTGAGATTATTAACTGATTCGTAGTACTAACTCAAAAACATTTCTTTGTACAGTGTATATGACACAGACATAGAAAATAACCATTTAAAAAATAAGGGGCAAAGCTAAAGCTACAGACAGGGAGAACATTTGTCTAGTATTTCCAAGGACTAGAGTTTGATCACCCACAGTATTGCCCTTTTTTTCTCCTTAGAAACAAACTCTCAATGGGATTATTTATCATTTGCCTACAAATTTTAGTAAAATCACTTATCTTCACCACTCTTTCCTGGAAAATTTTGCACCCTTACTAATCTTGAAAGAAAAACATTGTTTAATTTTCCTAAATTATTATTGCGATTAATAGTTTTTTAGAGACATTCTTTCATGATAAGAATTGAGTACATTAAAACCACGCATGTAATTACATCTAGAAAGCTAAATCATATACAATTGCTATTTCTGTAATACCCAAGGTGTATCTTAAAGGCAATTTCTTAGATCACATGGTTAATACAGGGCTTCTATTTGATGACCAAAGATTGAACCACGTTCAATAAGGTAAATGAATTCATGGTTATTTGATGTGCAACTATTATGCATGCTTTGTTTAGAATTTAGTTGAGTGAATCTTGCTATTCCTTTAATAATGTCACAATCAATTCTAGACAAGTAGCCAAAGAAAATATGAAAAAATGGCTACCTGTGCTAAAAAATGATGATTGCCATTGAAATAACTACAAAAGATAATCCAAACTCCATATTTACCTAAACACACAGGGAAATTGAAAAGTCTAAGGTTACTATGATTGAGCTTTCTATTTTATTCTGAAATCTTCAGCAGGGTGTCTAATTTGCAGACCACATGCCATGTTTTCCTCAGAGTAGCTATCAACATCGTTCAACCCCAAACTGCAAACCTTGAATATTATGAGATTTCTTTTTTTAAAAAAACTTTGTAATCCTCAAATACAAACTTGGCAGAATGCAGCTTTGTGTCACCATGTCCCAAGGTTGACTATGAACCCACAGAAATGACTATGAACCACAAAACTCAACATTTTACTTATCTAAGGACCAAACTGTATTTTGACTACATTTCAAGCTAGGAAATTGTTCTCAACACTCCTCTTGTTACTTCCAGATTCTAGTCTTAGGTGATTTCCTCCTATCATTGTTAACCATGGATAGAAGATCCCTATTAAAAAGCACCCTCTTATTAATGGCTTACCTTTTCACCATTTCATTTATGATCATCCTTTGTCTGAAAAAAATATTATCTTTAATCAGAAAGATGTAGAAAGAAGGAGATAGATAGATAGATAGATAGATAGATAAAAATGGAGAGAGAGAAAAGTTGAATTCCCTTTATTAGCATGTGGTGTTGTAACTCTTTTTATTACTAGTTGTTTTTAATTTTCTTATTGTTCTCTATTTCTAATTTTAACTTTACCAATAGTTTATTTGCATACAGAAGCACTGGGCATGAAGAATTCCTTGTTACCCATGCTTTAAGATGCACAGATAAGGGAGCTCAAATACTGTTTTCCCTTCTGCACAGCCAGGAGAAGCAAGGCATATTCAAACAAAGCTGTATGAAAATAAACAAGATGCAATGTTGAAAACACCCATATTGAGAAACTGCAGCAGAATGTCTGACAAAGTACAGATTTTGGTTCACAGTATAACAAGGTCAAGTAGAGCAGGCATTGCACAACTGTCAAGAATCCTTGATTTGACCACTTAGATGCAATCTGTCTCTCTCTGGAATTCTGAAGTTCAACAATATCACAGCTGGAACTTTTCTAAAAGGCCAAACCATGTGGCCAACCTAAACAGTACTCCCTAAACATTTGTTTTCCTTGGTGAGAATTGAACTCAGAGCTCATGGATGCTAGGGAAGTATCTTTCACAGAACTTATCCAAAGTCCTTGTGCTGGACATCTTAATCTGTGTAGTCTGTGGCTTTATTCAGGGTCCCTGCCTCTCAATGTTCTGATTTAATAGCAGACCTTGCATGG